TTTTTTTCTTTTACGTTCACGTACAAATAAAAAGCTTACTAATAGCAACTGATAATAATTCTTGGCCGTAGATGAAGAAACATTTGCTGTTAAAATTAACACAAGATGGAAGAGACGAAGAATTTCTTCGTTCGAACAGACAAACAGGACAATTTTTATTATCCTCATCGATGAAATATTACCACCAACGATAACCTCTCTGTCCTGAAAAATTCGATGTTAAAATGGATTCATGGAAATTATAGAAGACGTTTGACGTCGAAAGATAAATCGACATCGAGATGATAATTTTCATCGATCTCGTCAATGCTTCGACTCACGATAATGCCGCATCGAGATCCTTATGCAGCATGTTCCTGGCGCCATTCTCCATCCCCTCCTTGTTTTTCGTCCCGTCAGCTCGAAATACGCGTCGCTCTTCGAATGGTTCGCATAGCGATCGAATACTAAAGGCGTAACGAGCAGCCCTGTCCGTCGATCTCCGCAAATACCTTTGGAAATATTTCTCTAACCCTGTACGTGCATGCGTGTGTGTATGTGTGTGTGTGTGCGTATAAAACGCTGTACGCATAGGGGTTGTCTTCGAAATAAGCTATGCTTTTCGCTTTCTACCCTTTATAGCTTCGTAATTCTCCAACTTTTATTCTTCACGCGTGGGTCCTTTGGTAATTTATTATTTTTCTACATGGATATTTGATAAAAAATTGATCGAGTGAACGGAATGACATTCGTTACATCGTGTCTGGTCCGATAAGTTTCAATGATGATTCAGTTTCATGTAATTAGACGTTTATAGAGATTATAGAATGGTGAGAATGTTAAGCTGATTTGCAATTTGTACGTCTACGATAGCCACGAAATTTAATAAGATTTGTAATAAGAAGAATTTCAAGTTTATTCGTGAAGTTTCGTGCGAAGGTTTTCGTAAATGAAAGGTTTCTAATAACAATATAGTTTGTAATTTCTGCTTCCTATATTTTCAGAGAACATCATTCCAAAATAAATATCGTTACAGTTAAAGAAACTTCAATTTCCTATTTACCATGCATTTGATCCGCGAATATCTAAATACTCGATCTAAATATTTTCTTTTTCCTTTTACAAGCAACTATCAAATATTAAGAATTATTTCATTCCTCGATTGTTTCAATTCAATTAATTTACAAATTTCTTCTTTACCATATCTCGGTATCGAAAATGTCGAACGCGTAATTAAAAAAAAATTTCGACGTCATTTTTTACAACATCCCATATACATACAGCTATCTGCCACGATGAAGTAGAACGCATATTGCGGAAGTTTGGCATAAATTCAGGACAATTTTCTCTTGTTCGAGCTGACCGAGTTCGATAAGGAGAAAAATAAGGTTCAAAGTGAGATAAATGTAGGCGGAGAACGAAGCGGGGAGCAAACGGAGATCAAGAATGGAAGAAGAGAAGAAAATTGTTGGCGGTACAAGCGATCGAAATAAAAGAAATATCTTTCTGACGCATGACAGTATGACACCTCTTCAAAGTCCGTGTTACGTTAAGAGGAAGCTCACGTAAAATTGCGTTTTTCAGTAAAAAGTTGACAAATTGGTGAAGGTGAATAAGAACTGATCGAATATACGAATTAATGATTTCATTCAAAACGCTTTGTTTGAGAATTTATTGCTTCGACGTTATTCCTTCGTGATATTTTCTTGAGTCCATTAAATCGTTTTTGTCAATATGACTATGTTCGAACGATACTCCTAATTTAATTATCGACTATATTTATTAAACACGACGTAGATTAAAGAACGTGTAAATTTGTGAAATATCTTGACCCACATTTGATTACCAAATTACCATACCAAGAATACGGGGATACGATATATTAAGCCAAAGCCGTATTCTATTACATAGTAACTTTTAATCAGTACCTACGAACCTACAGACGAAGTTAATCGTCAGTTAGAACCAGCCTATTTACAATTAACCTTCTCGACATTTTGTTCGATCGATTTAATCTCGTTTGACGAGCCTTCATTAATACTCTAGAGTAATTACCCTGCAAATCATAAGGCAGTACATAAAGCATTTCCAATTTAGCCCACTGGTTCTCAGTATAATCGTATTAACTACACATTTACAATTACCAAGTAAAACGTCGTTTTCGTTAGAAGCTAATCGCAGAATCACAAGTAAGTTATATTCCATTTGTAAAAGATTCTTACACGTTTCTAAATATCGACACACTTGCACCAATTACCCATGCTCGTCATTGAATAGGAAACAAGCTAATTTGTTTCCTATTCTACGCTTCGTAAAACGTAAAAGTCAGTCGAGTCAAACATTTGGCCGTTTTCCCGATGAAACCGAAAATTCCTTCGAGAGAAATTCAGAGATGAAATTTCGTTCGCGTCGCCAACGACCCACTGAGTTTGCCCACTGAGGGTCGAATAATTCGGAAATGAAAGCTTTTAATCAAACAGTGGACGACCTCCAACCCTTACGAAAACACGATAGTCCTCTCCTAAAAAATCAACCAAGGAAAAAAGAAGGAAACAGAAGAAGGAAAATAAAAGAAACGAGAAATATAATAAACCAATGTGAGTGGAGAGATTAAGCAGCGAGAAAAGAAACTGCGATCGATGCTCGTTTGATCGTTTTCTCCTGCCGTTGAATGTTCAACGTCGGCGTTTACGCTTCTCTAAGTCGAGCGTGTACGCCTCTCAACCCCTGGCGCTGAGAGGAGCACGCGCGAAGAAGAAATAGGGCCGCGAGTGCGTAACAACAGAACTGCCACGGTACGACAGGCACACACCGTGTGCTCGTGCAAACGGAAAAGGCCTGGCTGCTCGACGATGCTCGTCTGGACGGTTGCTAACGATCCCCCGCCGCGTTTTCTTGTGGCTGGCTCAAGGATCGGCCAAAGTACCGTTTAACTCACGCGTTCTAGCCACCAAGTGCATCGATCTCTCGCCGAAAAACTTTCTCACCGCGATCTCTATTCTACAGCGAGCCATTGTGTGTGCATGCACCGTTAATGAAACAACCAATAATTCTCCACTGTTCCCACAGATCTCCTTTTCTTTTTCTTTTTTTCTTTCTATCGATAGAATCTCGTTCGATCGCACGGAGAATTTAACCGACTTATGGTCAGTCGTCTATTATACAGTCAGATTTGTAGGTAATAGTCCCAATATTCTGTACGATGTTATACCAAAAATACTAATATTTGTGTAATGTCGTACGATGCAGAGTCGCGAGTTTGGGATTACAGTGCAACGGTAAAGGATCTAGTTGGCCATGTAAAAGTATGGAAGTGGAGAATGTAAAATAAGGTCGTTCCGTATGGCAGTTTTTGAGAAGATTGAATTTAGGAATTCGTAGAGTACGCGTGCACCGGAATATCGTTAGAATTATTGAAAATTAATTTGATTTCCGAATAAATTGGGAATAAGGATATAGGACAAGATCTGTTCGTATAGGCCGTCGTTTTTCAGGAAACTAGATTTGAACATAGGCGAAACACACATGCACCGGAACTTCGAATTCGCAAATCTCTTTGGCAGCGCGTGAAATTGAAAATCTTTAGGACAAACGCATTCCAAGTTACACGTGTATCCGACTGATTTTACGTAGTTGCATTGATTTGAAAGTAACTGGTGCGCTTTATCCGGTACAGCTACGAGATGAATCATAAAACAAAGCATCGATATCTTATTTATATAATGAAATCGAGAAATCAACAAAGTGTCAGCTTGGACTCAGTTTGGAAAAACTTCGAAGAAATTCGTATAAAAATTACCGACCTCAATTTCTTTTTTTTTTTTTTCTTTTTAATCTCTGGACGACTCCTAAGAAACAATTTTATTCTTACACAACGTTACAAAATCTTATTTTTACGTGAGAAGTCACGTTCTTTCCGGTCGTATCACGAATCACCCTGTACCTTGTTAATAGAATATGTATCTGTGTGTGTAATTATTTGGACGCGATAGATGGTCGCATCCGTTTTTGATAAACTGCGCGCGCCAACAATTCCGGAATTGGCAGTGCTCGAGAACCGGCGAACATGTGCAGCCGTATCAACACGAAATTCAAAAAGGGAACGACAACGTGAAGAGCGAGTTGCGATCGATACGCATGGTCGCGGGACTAATTATACATCGCATCGCGTCGACGGTGCAGTTCTTGTAATAAAAAGCCCGTCCAGCCACGACGACACGCGTCCGTCGCTCCGTGAAATCATCCGCCGGATGAATCCGTGACGCGGACGACTAATTCCTCTAAACCGCTCTCTGCAAGTGCATTTTGTGAAGCGTTTCAAGAATGACCAATTTGACATGATAACCTGATTTTCGAAGTCTCTGATTGGTTGCCGGAAATACAATTTCCTTCCAATTTTTTCTTTTTTTTTTTTTTTTTTTTTTTTTTTTTTTTCGTGGAATTTATCAGATTGGAATACGTGAAACGTTATCTTTCCGGAATTTGAATTCGATGAGCAAATATCGCATATTAAATCTCGCGCTATCGTCGATTATTAAGATACCAAAGAGAAAGACATATTGCTGCAAGTCATTCCGGCCGTGGTAGCCAGAAATATATATATATATTTCTTCTTGTTCCTTCTTCCGTTTTTCCTTCTTTTTCGTGGAAATTTATTAGATGCGTAAGTATGGAATATGAGTTTCTTCTAAAGCTTGAATTTGATGAGCTAACGTTACGCGATTAAGTTTTTGTCCTATCGTCGATTATTAAGATATTAAGGAATTATTCCGATCGACAGCCAGAAATATAAATCTCTTCTTTTATCTTCTTTTAACTTTTCTTCAATATGAAAAAATATATATATGAATGAGCAGAGGTGATTTTGGATGTTTAAGACGTGAGATATCAATGCTAGAAACTTTCGAACATAAGTAAACGGCTCGATTACGACGAATTTTAATTGCCAGTAGAACGTACAATTTTCCTGCTGTTCATTTTCTTTCCAATTTTGAATGTATGAAAATTGAGATCGTAGATATTTAAAATGTGAATACGAATGATCTTCCAAGTTTTAACCGTGAGTTAATATCTTTTGATGAATGCCGGTTGAGGTACCAGAATCCAACATTAAAAGTTTCCATTTGAGAAAGTCAAGCATCAAGAAGGAATTCCTTTGTGGAAAAGTGAATCGAAAATGTGATCAGCCTCAAAATTCTTCAACTTTCTTAAACTTTCTAAACAAAAGGAACGTGAGTTATAGCTTTCAACTAACTTCCTCGTAATACTCCGTTCCCTTGATCTTGCCTTCATCAAAATTAAACGTCGAAATTGCAACTCCAGAAAGATATTTACTCCAGAAACAACTATTTTCGCTTTCGATCTATCGGAGATAATTTCACGAGTGCAGATAAGAGATCGAATGACAAAATGTAATGCAACGCGGACATGAAACATAAAAATCGTTGGATAACGTCGCGGGAACACGAAAACTTCGTTTCGTTCGTGTCGAAGTGGTTATCACTTCTAAAAAAAGAAAAAAAAAAGGAAAAACACTACATGATCTGTTTAGTATTCTAGTTCTTTTTGTAATAAATTAATTTGAATGAAAAAGAGGAAGGCGTCTGGCAAATGTATTTGCGAAGGCATTGACAAATTAATTTTCAGATATTTACGACAAGAGTTAGAAAAATATTAAGAGATAATTTGTAAATTTAAGAAATTTGTAGGGATGTAGAGTTTTAGGGAGGGTTAGGTTGGGGTTAGGTACTAAACGACATTCTATACAGCACAGCAATCTGGCCAATTAATCGAATATATTCAAAGTAGAAAAATAGAGAATCGAATTCTTGTCGTAGTATTTCTTCCGGCAATTTTTAATTCAGACACTCGAGTCGTTTATTATTTCAATTTCCGAATAAATCTATGATCGAGTGGAAATGTATGGCGGAAGAAATTGTTCGCCGACGAAAATCATCGCTCGAAGGTTTCGAGTCTCGCGAGGATCTAGGACGACCCGGGTGGTGTCTTAATAAATTCGGAAGGTTTTGACACGGCGAGCTCTTTTTAAACGGATCTCGAGCTACGAATCACGGCCACGTAATAATTGTAACTTTTTACTCGCGCGGAAAGCAATTTTAATCCTTTCTAGCTCCCTCGTCGGTTACTTCGCTTTAATCGTCCTTATTTCGAACCCGAACTATGATATAAAACTGTTTTAGAAGAATAAAGAGAAAAAGAACGTGCCACGACGATGCACGCTCGAATGTTTGCTTCGTGCAGGTTCGAATTAACCCTTCGAGCTAAGCATGGTTTAAAACATTTTCTTAAGCTTCATTTTAATACTTGCTGCTGTTTCTGTCGATTTCATTGGACTGTTCGGAAAAATCGTAACGTTTCTGACAACGAAAATATTCCACTGTGTATTTGGCGTGACTGGAACAGGATTATTCGATGTTATACCGCGAATGTTTCTTCGAATTCGTATTTCTATGAGTTTTGCAATAATCAGAAATTTGTTTCATCCATTAAATGTTGCAAACAGTACGATGCTTTGGATACTTTATACTTTTGTATATTGTGTGCTTCGTATTTCTTATGAAAAATGAAATTCTAAATTCAGATACATATTAGGATTAATTGGATATTAAATGGAACGTCTGAACATTTTAATTGTTTTCCAATATGACGGGATTGAGGAAAGAAAAGCGGGCAAGAAATATTCAGCCCCATCCGTTCCATTCACGAGCATCGTCTGACTATCATTCATTCCGGTCTTCACAGAACGTTCATTTCTACGACAAAAAATTGTATAGTCTAGAGGACTGCAGGAACTATTTCAAAGAACCCATTGTCGGCAGAAGCGAGCTTTTTGGAAAAGAGATTATAAAGCTATCCAAGGAACGGCGGAATGCCACTAAAAAATGCATATTATTATATAATAATGCGTTTCTTTTGTAAAATTGCGAGTTTTCCGGACAAGCCATTAACAAGCTATTTTGAATAAATTACTCCGACTGACGATCTTAACGATTTTCAACGATTATAAAAATACAAACTCGGCGAATAAAAAGAGCTAAAACTACTAGAAAGCTAATAGAAAGATGTCGACGATTTCAACAATTTGAATTTCCAATTTACAACGAAGTTGGCCGACTTTCTCCATTTCTTTAAAGCTCGAACGAGCTACCAATATTACTAGAAAATATTCGACAGACTGCACGGCACACGTGCTACGAGATCGTCGTCCGCAATCGAGCTGCAATTTCACCGACGCGATAGTAGTTCGGCTGCATTCATGCTTCAAGGGCCTTGGTAAGGTCGTGATGTTGGATAAAAATCGGAATATTACGCGAAAGTCGGACATTGTTAACTAGTAATTACGTGCAACCGTAGCCTAACATGCTACTCAGACGTAATTTCATGCGCTGCCCATCGATCTGCTGTGAAAGTTAGCCAATGAAGCCCAGGTGTACACGTATCGACTGCGAGAACAGCAGGGAAAATGCCCGTAACTAGTCAGACACGCGAATTCTCGGTGTACGAGCATGAATAGGACGAACACGGTTTCTAAGTATTTACTACGAAGTTCTAGAACCACGTGAAGATCGTATAAAACAATGCTTAACTCTGCACAAGTGGATTGAGAAATTAGAGAATAGTTTATGTAGTTTTTTTCAGTATAAATGTCTATCTAACGTATCTTTCGTTTTCAGAGTAACTGTAGTGCATTGTTGTTTCGTTGGTAATGCAAATAAGAAAAATAAATTCTTCGGGAAATAAAAGATTTAGAGCAAACAATTATGAATTACTCTACTATGTTTAGCAATGAAAATAGTATCGTTCCTTTATAATGTAATTAATAGTTTCTGGTTTCCGATCACCTGTAATAAAACTGTTTATCGTTAGGAAAGAGTTGAATGGTTTGTAGTGAGTTGTGATAGCGTTCTTCTGTTGTATCGATTAAATTTCATCGAGGAACTATGACATAACGGTGACCTCTACAATAGCGAATAACGTGTTTTTAGAATGTATTTTTGCAGATGCCATTTCAAAGTTGACAATTTTTTTAGACGTGTCACTTCTCCAGCAAAGCAACGATAAATATCTTCGTATGGAATGCGTGAGAGTGAATGGCCTGGCATTTCAGAGATAAAGAACTGCGAATGGAAAGTGAGTAGTCGGGATTACGCGTTGCGTAATTTCGTGTATGTAAATTACAAAGAATGTGATGAAGACATAAAGCGTGTCACAGAAATTACTTCAAAATGATTTTATACAATTTTGTTTCACTTGTTCTTTAGACGCCAGGTGTTTATAGTAAGACTCGCTTTTAATTTAGATGGTTTTTATAAAAATTCCAAGCCATTTTAAAGATACCTAGGAGGATTTTCAATTATCTGAAAGTGATTTTAAACAATTTTATTCCACGATACGCACCGTTATATAAAGATAGCTCCATTCTTTCTCGGAGTGAGAAATGCTAATTTAGCATAGAATTTTACAAACAGACGAAAATCCACTTATGTGAGTTAAGAAAGAACTCTTTAACATAACCACAGCAGACGTAAATAAAATTAGCGAAATTCACAATCATTCTTTTTCTACCACCAACTTCAACTTCGGACACTACTAAAATTTCGCTACACCTCCACTGAACGAATCATAAAATTCCAAAGAATAGATCACGCCGCGTTAAAAATTCTCCTGAGAATGCTCCGCGACCTAAAAATTTTATCTCGCCCCGGCGTCTATTAAAAGAGTCATAAAATTTCAAACTACAGAGAACTCACTTGTCCATCATGAACTTTCCACAATCTCGGCTCTTGAAGTTTTATCTCGACGACCGATTTATTAAGAAACTTGTAAACATTTTCAAACTGCACAATTGTAATTATAATTCAAACGCCTGGCACGAAGATAGACCCGCACAGAGTAGTACTGGGATCGCGTTCGAAACGGAAAACAATGATATTTCGACGAGCTCGAAGTCGTAGACGTATGTAGATGGAGGACGGAAGGATCGAAAAAAATTTCGTTACATTTTCTCCCTGTGAAATCCTAAATTCTAATACGATATCGTTTGGATCGTCTAACGGATTTTCTCTTTGACCAGCACTCGGAACACTCGGCTATCGTATATAAATATTTGGTGTGAGATAAAAAGAAAAAATGTAGGTATATATATAAAGAAGAAGAAGAAGAAGAAGAAGAAGAAGAAGAAGAAGAAGAAGAAGAAGAAGAAGAAGAATAGAAAAAGTATGTATAGACGCAAAGACGAGCAGAGATTTGAATCTCATAGTCGCATCGCAACGGAAGTCGATATATGAGAAAAGAGGAAAACGAGGAGACGACAAGAAAAGAAAAGTCGAAAGTTTTAACGTTTACAAGACGCAAATTCGCCCCGCCCCATCCGATAATAATAAATAATAAATTCTGCATATATCGTGTTATTGTAATATAATTATAATATATGTATATAATATATATATATATACGCGTCTGTATGTATATGTATGTTTCATGTTTGTGTCCCCGTGTATATAACTGTGTATTGGCGTGATAATATATAAACAGTGAATAACACATATATAAAATCATTAAAACGATAAAACAAAATAAAATAAATTATCCAATATATTAATTAATATACTTAATCATCTGCGTAATATATTAATATTCTGGTTATTATATATATTATATATTATTAAATTATGTATCTATATATATATATATATATATATATGTTTAGGTATATGCGTGTTCGGTTGTAGCCTTAACTATGCAAAGTGCCCTTTTTTGCAAAAGAGAGAAGATCGACGGGTAATATCATTTGATCACAATGTAGCAGTTTGGCTCTTTGAATAGCTAGCGGATTCGACGTTTCAACTGAGTCGACGTGTTACCCGACGCGAGTTACACGATTTCCTAAGCTTCGAAACACACGTACCATCCATATGCGTTTTCGTCCGTCCGTCCGTCCGTCGGCTGTAAACGTTAACCATTCATCCATGCGAAATACGAATCCGAGCGTGTACGCGTGTATAATGATCGCGTCACGCATCCACGCCTGGACGTCTGCGCAACACGGCTCTACGCTATATCTTTCTCCTTCTTACTTTCCTTCTCTTACTTTTCAGAAAACCCCTATATCGTTAATATAATATTATAATGTGTAAGGAAGTAAATATATGTATATATAAATTTCCTCGCGTAAAAACAAACAAAGAAGAAAGGTAGAACAAAAAGATTGCACCCCAACCAATTAAATATCAACGTGTAACGATGTATTAGGTTGTCCGAAAAGTTTCTTTCGTTTTATATAAGGATATAATAGACGCACAATGTTTTTTTGCTTTACATTAGTTTATTGAATTACGCATAGAAATAGAACGAAATGGATTATACCTAATTCGATAAAATAATATAAAACAGAAATTGTTGTTCATCTATTATCACCTTATGAAACGAAAGAAACTTTTCGGACAACCTAATAGCTGTGAAATATTTCGTAACCAGCCCTCTTGAATAAAAATTGACATCGTTATTTTAAAACGTATAACACTATCATTACCGTCCGGCTACCGGATTTTGAACCGCGCAGTAACCGGCCGATTAACCATAACGTATTAACGTATATAATGTATAATATAATAATATAGTATAGTACTATAAAATCAATCCGATTACAGATAAGATTCTTATTGTGTTCGCCTATGCACTTAAGTTCCGAATTCGTGGAATGTCTCGCGTGATTTTCCACTATTTATTTGCTGCCGATATTGCACCCGCGGAGGTTTGCAGTTTAAATTGTAAATATCATAGACTTTTAGGTGTTCAAGTAACAAACAACGCGTTTTATAGTTCAGAGCTCATATTAGAACTGCAAAGCGCCACTACGTACTTCTTCTTGCGCCTTTGTCTTCTTCTAGTTTTTTTTTTCTTTTCTTTCTTTCTTTTTGTGTCTTCATTATCATCGTCATTTCCTGTTCTGCTTATCTCTAACAAAAACAAAAGACCGCTAGAAACGATGCATAGGACTAAAAGATTTCGTTGTTAGTCGATTAATATTGCGTGTCGCCGTACTTCCGGTGATCCCGGAAGTACACGAGGATGTCGTGTGGCTGCGTGTTCCGTGTCTTTGTCCCCGTCGCTGTACGTCTACAGACGTACATGTGCGTGTATTATGTGTAAGTGCAAATTAACGTGTGGTGTATCAAACGCCTGCCTCTCTCGTCGTGTACATACCTGATGTGTCCGTGTTTCCTGACTGTACCTATGTGTGAGAGTGTAGAAGTGTATCCATGTGCCAAATACTCCCCGAGAATCCCCCGTAAATTCCATCCCGCAGAGGTGAAACCCCGCGAACTGGACCAGCACGTACATACGTGGGCGTAATACATTGCCAACGATTCCCGATGAAACGCCGATGAAACACACGATTACACTCTAATATGAAGTCCAACTATAAACTCTTCAACAACTATACAACTCACCCTGCGTATCGAATGAATTACTTCCAGTAATTTCGCATTAATAATTAATAATTAATTAATTAATCGATTAATCATAATTCTTTTTTCCGGCTGTCGAGCGGCATGTATCGGCCGCTAGGCAGCAGCAACTACGGGAGGAATTGGCACCACGTTTGCTCCCACTTTATATATATATATATATATAATGTATATATATATATAATATGTAATTCCATTAAATCTCCCATTATCAATATTTATAATATATATATATATAGAGCAATATATGCGCGAATCGTGAACTCTCCCGAGCTAACTCTCTTTAGTATCGTCGATCGGCGCAGCGCTAGTTTACCACAAAAAAAATAAAGCTGCCCGGTCTTTGGACAATGTTCGAAACATCGTTTCGTACGGCAGCCGGCATGGCGCGAGTTTACGTGTGCGCGTCACGAGGCGCGTTCGTGTGCGCGCATGCGCGCCCGCGCGTTACCGATCGGCCCGAGGATAACGCGAATTCCGCGAGCCTAATAGCCGAGATATAGAAATAAGCGACCCGCGCCAACCTTGATTCGTCTCAGGCTCTCTCTTTACCTCTGCCTCCGCTTTCGATGCGCCGATCGTCAATAAGAAAACAACAACAAACAACAAACGGCTAACGCGCCAGCAATCGAGAAGGAACTTTCATCGCCGCATCGTTTATCGATCGTGAAAAACCTGGCTGGTGTCGTGCCAGAGACGAATCGAACTTAAAAATCGGCCCTCGAAGAAAAGTTTCCCGCGACAGCGACGGTGGCGTATCACGCGCATGCGCGTGCGCCTTTCCTCCAGCTGACCGATCGTTCCCGCGCGTGCGCGCCAATCGCCGCACTCGCCTGCCCCCTTACAATAGATTCTAGCGCGCGCGCAACTCGCCATGCGCGGCACTCGGCTCGCTCGCTTTTTCTTCTCAGAGAACGATTTTGTTAACTAACACGACAAGCCCACCCCAAAAATGTCGCTAAACATCTTACATACCACGTGCTTACAAAAAAATCCCCCTTCCCGCGCGATAGGAGAATCTCGTCGATTTCTTAAGCGTAGAACCTATAAAAGATTTGGTGTTCGAAAAAGAAAAAAGCCGAGAGAGACCGGCCTTTGTGTGGCCGTGACATCAGGGCCGTATCGTATTATGATCTGAAGTGCGACAATACCCCCCTGTCGGCGCAGCCACTCGCGCTCTCTGTATATCATTTTCTTCTTTTTCTGTTCTTACATATATATATGTATGTATGTATATATATGCATATCCATACCCATATATATACATGTATATGCATACATATATATATATTTGTATATATATGCGTGTGTAAATTATTTATTTATATATTATTCATCGTTACTTTTTTCTGGTTTTCTTGCTTCCGGGGCGCAGTACGTACGTATAAAGTAAATATATATATATATGTATATATATTTTTATATATTATATATGTAGGAATGTAGTATAGTGTAGTATCGTGGATGGATTGCCTGGCAATCAACACTGACCTCGTACTAGATATTGGCAAATTCATCTGTGCTAACTTACTCCTCAATTCTCTCAGCGTTAAACTTTCTTCACTTGACAGTTGTTCGTCTTCAACATTTGCCATTTTATTTTTGCAACACTATTATTCAAACGACACACTACACTAATTTCAACGATCAACGATATTGTCTTTTATCACACCGCACACCGGAATTTAATACTAGCACGATCTGATCCCGGACGAGGCCCCAATTTGTAGGAAAATGGTATTCAGCTAGTAGGTTTGGTAACGGTATGATTGTTACAATATCGTTTGATGCTCCGTATGTTTACGCAATCACTATTCTCCATTAACTATCTTTGTTACAACGATTCTTCTTTAAATACGCTGACAACACTCCATGACAACGTTGACAACACACACCCGATATCTCCCAGACAATCCGTCTTCGATACTACACTATACTACATTCCTACATATATATATTTATATATATATGTATATATATTTATAAAATATATACAGACGCGTGCACGGTCCATCCGCGTTTTAGGACAGCGTGTTCATGGTATCGTTAGTCATCGCGGAAAGCGCCAAGGTGCCTGTCACGAAATCGTTTAGATCGATCTTTCTTGCCTCGGGGTGTTTGAATTTAAAGTGCGTGCGCAGGTTGTCGCTACGTGTGTACGTGGCACGACAGAGAGGACACTCAAACCTGCCGGGGAAGTGGACGTGGTAGTGGTTCCTGATGTGCGTCACGACCTTGCCGCACAGCTTGCACCTGTGAAGGTTGCAGCCGCCTGGCACCCGGTCAAAGGTCAGCCGCATGTGCCAGGCTTTTGAACCTGCAACATCAACACAAGACAAGTCACTTTCAACTGTTGGCCACCCAACACGACCTACACGACGAC